GTTTGAAACAAAATGGGCACAGCACAGGGTCAGCTGCTGAGAGACCCTTTTGCAGGGACAATAACTCCTGGAGCCAACAGGCCAAACAACCAGTTACTCACAAGAGAGGAAGAAGGAGCCTGTCCCTACAGCCCAGACACCAACAACAGGACAAGACAACAGTGCACTACATGTAGGCAGGGCAGGCTCATGTCTGCCATGATAGAGACATCCACAGTTCATATCACTGCGGTTGTTCTGTGCTTCAGGGGAGCTTGGACTTCGTTTGTGGTCCCCTCAGGAACCTGCAAAAAGAACACAGTGAGGGCTAGTTAGAAGCCCTGTGGAACAGAGCCCTGCATTGCTGATGGAGCACTTGGCTTGCAGTCACGGACCTGCACTCCCTTACCCTTGCAGCCCAGGGACACAGCTAATGTGCTCACAGTTCGGCAGCCACAGGATAGGAAATTGGTCTAAAGCATATGAGCAGTTTAATTTTCATTTTAGAAATGTGAATTAATTCCATCCCCAGTTCCTCCTCGGTGCATGCTGCTGAACTGCTGCATCCTCACCAAGGTGGGTCAATGCCAGGAGAATGTGAGTAGCTGGATGGCTCTGTCCTGCTGGAGGACAGGGCTTGCTCTAAGTCTCTGAGCTTTCTGGGGTGCCTGCGGGCTGCCTCCCTGCCTGGGGACACTGCAGCAGGCCTACCTCTTTGCAAAAAGGTGTGAAGCTCATGCTGCCAGCCTGGACCCCAAGCTGCTATTGCCAAGCCAGAGCACAGGGTAGCACAGGGTCCTCATGAGGCGAGATGCACCTCACAGCCTTCTCCCCTTGTACAACAAGAGAGGGGCTGCCCTATTGTCTGCAGGCAGCCTGAGGCACCTACCCAGGCTTGGGTGGCTTTTGCCTTCTCCCATGGAGGAAGGATTGTGGTTCAGCCCTATGCTACCCCTAACCAGCACGTACACACTGTGGCTTCCCACCCATTCTGCCTGGGTATTTAGGGCTCTTCCAGCACAGCTGTAGCTGGAGCACAACCCATGGGGATCATGACCATGGGAGGAACCCTGCGTGGGCAGGAACTGCAGCAGATGCAGCTAAACAAGGCTGGGTAGGGTCAGAGGGAAAAAGGCCTGTGAGTTGCCTCAGGGCAGGACAAGACAAAGTAAAGGGTGTGGCAGTATCAGCACCTAAAGATGGGGGGAAGCAGCACCAGGCTGAAGTCATCTGTCCAGGGACCCCTGGAAACTGGACCAAAGCACGAACTTGAGTGCTTCCTTGCTGAGGGAGAGGGTTAACCCTCCACCCATCCTCCAGCTCTGGACTCTGACCTGACTCTGAGGGACTCACCATCAAGCTGTGTTTCATCATCAAGCTGCATTTGTGGTTCTGATAACCAGTGAGTCATCTGGCTCCCAAACCAGGCTTTGAAACAATCACAGACGACTACCCACTAACCTTAACTACAAGCTGCCTGCTCCCCTTACTTAAGCTGTGCTTAAACATCAACCAGCAACTAACTGAGCTGGCCAAAACTTCTAGAAAAAGAGCTCAGATCCTCTATCCTCCCCCATGTCCCCAGCAGAACACAGAGGGAAGGATCCTGCCAAAGCCAGGATCCGCACAAGTGTCAGTTCTTGCTTTGGTTTGGCTGATAATGCAAAGTCGAGAGGGTTTCCAGCTTCTTCCAGGAAGGGGTTCACTACCATTAGCATGGGGGGGGACACAGGCACATCCCACTTGCAGGAGGGACATCTGCCCTGTGGAGTAGATCAACCTCCTGCCTGACAGGAGCAGCTGCCAACAGTCTGATAGTGTCATTAGGGGTGAATGACTCATTGCAGCCTGAGGACTGCTCTATATTTAAGCATTACAGAGTCAGAAATGAATGCATGGAGTCAGGAGCTGCTTACCCTGAGGTCAAGATGAGGTTCAGAAACCAGTTGTCAGAGTTCACCTTTGTGGCACACAGCATCTGAGTCTCTCAAATCTTCAGAGAGAGAATAATTCGCATAGGGAGGGAGTATTTTAAACCACTGTGGGTCAAAGCAGAGTCAGACAACCTGCAGGTACCTGCTGTGCACAACTGCTTCAGGCAGCCCTCACTCGAGCTGCTGCTGAGCCTGGGCAGCAATTCCCTGCAGCAACTGTGTGTGTGGGGAGGTGTTGTTAGGCGTTTGCTAGCTTTACTCAACCCTACGTTTTTCCTAGTCTTCAGATCTTGACCAAGCTATTTGCAGCTGGACTGAAAACGTCTCTGGAGACTGGTGTGGGGCGGGGTGGAAGGAAGGAGGAGGAAGGAAGGAGAGCAGCTCATCCCCGGGGCAGGGCAAAGGGGCAGCCACATTTGGGGAGAGCAGTTAGACTGCTTTTTTTTTTATTCACAGACTTCTGCTTCAGGACAACAAGCAATGAATTCACAGTAAAGTTTCCGACTCCTTTTCCCAGGCCCTGCACTTTGCCAGCTGCTCCCCCGTCCTGATCAGCTTTCCTAATTAATTCCAATTGATTTTGCGAATAGCCTGGGCTTCACACTCCAGCCAGGGCCACCCCCTCCAGGCTGCATGTCCATGCAGCACATGGCAGTGGCACAGCACTGACAGCTGACGCCACAGTTACTGTGGTTTGCATCCTCTGCAGTCCTGATGGTATTCCCCCCCCTCCGCTTCCATGGAGCAGCACATGGATCAGCCACCAGGGAAAAAGGATAACAAGGAAAGCCATGTTCTGGAATTGCATCCAGAGCAACCCTAAACGGCTCCACATAAAAGCATGGCACCAAGCACAGCTGCCCAGGGGCTCCGCACAGTGTTTCCAAGCTAATTCTGAAGAGCTGCTTTGCTCTTTTTCACATTAATTCCTGCCAGGCCATTTCTCAGGGTGGGGAGCACTAACTAGGGCTGCAAACCAGCATGTCACACAGGGCAGGGGCTCAGCCAGCAGCCACGAACAGCTCCACTCACTGCAAGACACAGGTGGGACTGTTGAACCTGGTTTTCCCTTCACTGAGGCTCCTTGACAACAAATTCCAGGGACAGCAGCCCATTTCCACCCAGGAAATGGGTGACAGCCCAGTCCCCAGCATGGTGAACAGCAGGACAGGCCCGAGCTCTCCAGTCCTGCCCTGCAAAGTGCTCCTGCAGGGAAGCCCTCACTTCACAAGTGTCCCCACTGACTCGATGTTCAAGAAAGGCTCACTAGAGGCAGAGACTTACTGGTTTCCAGGCTCCAGGGAACACACCGTATCTAGTAGTAACCTGGCACCTTTAGCTTAATGCAAAACTTTACCCTAATTATCACCAGGCATTACAGTGCTCCACTTCCTTGTCTGCAGTAACGGCACTGCCAGCCTCCCTTCCTAGCACTCTCTGCCGCTCTCCCAAAAAACAGAGCAGGTTTGAGGTTTCCTCAGAGCCTCCCGCACACCTTTTATGTCCTCTTATCCAGTAACTCAGCCAAGCTTCCTCTCACAGTCTGGGACAGTGGTGCACAGCTCCGCCTATGAGGCAGCATTCAGGGAGGCATCACACAGTATCAGCTGTAGCTGTACACCCAAATCACCTCTGGCTGATAACCTGAGGAACCCTCGCATGCCCCTCCTGAGGGGCACAGAGCAGGAACGCAGTCAGTGATGGGCATCAGACCAGATGAAGCAAGAAGGCAGCAGCTGGCTCTGGCTTCACACCATTTCACAGGAAAAGGACCAGACAGCTTGTTTGCTTCTTTTCCCTGCTTCCTGACTTACCTGAGAAACCAAGACTTGGCTGTGCTCTCTCCTCTTTACGCCACGTCTGGAGCACATAACAAACACACGGCCATATGCAGAAGGATGCAGGCAGACAGGTGCCGCACAGCTCTGGTGCTTCAGAAGTAACGATACAGTGGGGCCAAGTGTCCTTCAAAACAGTAAAACGTCAGAACTTGCACTTACATTTGCCATGTATTCAGAAGTCCCATTGCCCAGCTCTGATTGCCTCTAGGGAGCCTCCACTCGGCAGCCCAGCCAATCACACAGAAATGGCTACTGAAGTTTGCTGCTGGGGCCCACAGAGATCGGCCGATTTGCCCATCGGCTGCACAGTGGCTGTTTCTGAGAGGCAGTCCCGCACTGGGGCACATCCAGAAAGGTTCTCATGAGCAGCCTTCCCTGCTCTTTATGAGTAGTTTGTGTTGTCTTTCGCTGCTGGTGTTCATTTCGTTGGTTTCTTTTCATGAGTAACTTGTTTGAAGCCTCCACTGGCTGCGCAGGCCCCAGGTCCTGACAGGCCAGTCCTAGCCGGGACCTGCAGCTGACCACAGGCCTGTTACCTGACTTGGGCTTTGGTGCCAGCTCTCCCCTGCCAAGGGCCACCTATGCAACACGTTTAATTCGGCAGCACTAGCATTACACAAAAGCTGTAACACCAGCCACCTAACATCAGCCTGCAGGAGTCCCATCAAAGGCCAATACTCACCTGCATCACTGATCCCGTAACTGGGGGGACACACCAAGGCGTCACCCTGAATGCAGTGTTTCTAAACCCAAACTACTCCTTAGCTGCTGGATCAACTCCTGTGAGGCCCAACAGCACCCTCTAGCCACAGCAGAGCAGGACATGGCTTGCTTTGCCACCCTTTTCTGCCCTAGGCATGCAGGCCTGGAAAGGGCCTTCACATGGCACGTGTGTCATCCCTGCGGTCCCTCAGGTTTGCTAGGAGCAGTCTCTCCCACAGCAGCTAGACTAGGGCTGTGCCTCACCCCACCCATTATGTGCCCAGGAGAAAGGCAACGGGTGCTCCCCAGCCTGCTGCTGACCCGTTACTGCCATTGCCCGAGCAGCAGAAAATTTTGGACAGAGATACTCTTCATCTCCCAGCAGGCTGGGGAGAGAGCAGGGCAGCCCAGGCAGTGCCTCGGTAGGGCAGGCAGAGGGTCTCCTGCGTGCAGGCAGGCCCGCAGTCCCTCCTGGTGCTGCAGGGCTCCAGTGGGATTGTGCAAACGCACTCCCCGGTGTTTCTCTGCGAGATGAACTTGTTCCAAATCCCTGTGGTGCACTTTGCACTCTGACTGTGGTGACCGCGTGCCGGCTCCCTTGGCACAGTTTAAAGTCCACAGCAGAGGGGTGCTTACCTGCCTCCTGCACGCCACAGCTCACTCCCACTCCTCCCCGCCTGCACATCTGCCTGGACGAGGGCTCTGGGGCCTGGATCTGGACTGCAGCATGTGGCTGCTTTTCAAGGCAATGGCTCTGTGCCTGACGCTGGGTTTAGGGCAATGCACAGAAGAAGCAACACAGGTGAACACTGTCCACCCAGCTTCCCAGGCAGAGTCATCCTATTCAGACTGGGGCATCGAGACCATCCGGGACAGCTTTGAAACAGTTAACAGCTACTTTGACTCCTTCTTGGAACTGCTTGGGGGAAAAAATGGAGTATGTCAGTACAGATGTCGATACGGTAAGTGAACACTGCTCCTGCTGGCTCCTCCCTCCTTGCCCTTCCCTCTCTTGCGCTCTCCCTTCCCCAAGACCACCCTAAGCTCTTATCCATAACCTGATCCTTGCTCTGCTCAGCACAGAAAAGTCACTGCAGAGTCACAGCTTTCCTGCTAGTGCCAGCACCAGGGCACTGACCCTCATCTTCCCCTCTCACAGAGAACCGAGAGCCTGATCTTGAAGCCACTGTGCTGTGTGCAAGGGGACAAGAGGAGAGGATATATAGGTTTTACAGGAAGGGCAGTAGGTGACCAGGCTGCCCAGACCGCTGGAGAGAAACACCAGGGTACGCAGTGAGGCCCTGGAGGGGAGGACGAGCAGGCTGTGCATGCCTAACTCAGAAAAGGTTTAGTATTGCCCTAATCTCAGCAATCTTCAGAGTGTCATTGTTCAACAGTTGCAAGTTGGTTAATAAGTGGGATGGAGGAGGAGAGATAACAGGAAGGCACACAAGACATGCAGTCAGCATGGAGGAACCTTTAGTACTCAAGGCAGAACGAGGCAGCTGCTGCTTGCCTTGGACTTTAGAATGATTTACCAAAAAGAAAGAGTTTTTCCTGGGGTCAGGACAAAGGGGGTGACATCCTGGGGAGAGCAGGGCAGGGAACCAGGCGCATAGAGGTGCAGCAGGACCTGTTTGGGAACAGGAAGGAGGATTCTTACAGAGTTGTGTCCTCTCCCTATGTCCCTACAACTGTCCCCACAGCAATAACTGTTTTCAGCCAACTCAGCCAGCCCATCCACAACTACCTGCCAGCCCTTTTCCCCCCAGCTTCACCTCACATCCTTCGTGACTGCCTGGGCAGGGTGCTTGTGAGCACAGAGGTGATTTCAACCCCTCTCCTTCCCTGAGCTGTGGTTTTCACAGACAAAGACTCCACGCTTTAGAAAGACCCCACCAACTCAGTTTTGGTCTGTATGCATCCCATTTCTTCCAGAGCGTGAGCTGCATTCTGTGCTGCACGTCTCCAGCCTGCACAGGGTTGTCTGTATTGCTGCCCTGACAGATGCAGCCAAGGGAAGCATCTCCTGCTCCTCCCAGTCCAGAAGCAAGGGTGCTGGGAGGAACAGATGCTGCAGGGCTGGGACATGAGCTGCCTGTCAGGATGAGAGGGCAGATGGGCCACCCTCAGCCAAAATAAGGCTACAAAGAAAGTTTAAAATCAGCTTTCAAGTGGGGGTTTTGTTTTGTTTTTTTTTTTTTTTTGTCTTCTTTTTCTTTTTGCTATGTCTTGTTTTTAAATAACATGTATATATCTGATCTGTTTTGCTCTGCTCCCCGGGCCCATGCTAACAGGAAACAGGGAGCACCAGGCCAGGCACCTCAGCCCCACAGACCTGCAGGGAGCCAAGCACCTCTGTCCCACAGCAGCCCCGGTCCCTCATCCCAGGGCCCCATGACATTCCCCAGCTAGGGCTGCCTCTCCACAGCAGCTCAGGAGGGCCATGGCTGCTCTGTGGAGCCCACTGGGGGCAGTGTGCACTCCAGGGGCACAACGTCTAGAGGAGACCCCCTGCACACCACAGCATTGCCCCAGCACACAGGATGAGCCCATTTGCCCACCAGACAGCCCATCCCAAGGCCCACAGCATGGCAGCCCCACACAGTGTGTGATAACCTCCCTTTAGGTCCACACCACATTCCAAATGCAGAGCAGAAGGGGATTTGCCCTTCTTAACGTAGTGACTGAAAACCCTGTAGTGGCCATAGCATGGCTGGGACTGCTGTGGGCCTGAGGGAAGGTTTGTGAAGGCTGGTATCAGAGCTCAGTTCAAGGAGTCTTGGGACTCACCAAGTCCTGCAGAAGTGGTCACTCTAGGCATATCACAAGGCTGGGGCTCTCCCTGCTCCTGCTGCCCCAGCTTTGCACTCTGGGCAGAGGGAAGAGCATCTCCACAGGGTGGTGGCACAAATGCCTGCCTGCTCCCTGAGAGCATTCTGCATCTTACTGGAAAAATGTGTTACCTAGAAAGGAAAACAAACAAGCACATCGTTAGCGCTGTTCTCATCCTCTGCTGAACAACTCATTAATCATGGCTGAAGGAGGAAACTATTGAAACACTGCCCAAGTGACTCTAAAGGTCTTGCTGGACCCTTCCAGAACTATTTGTCCTTGCTGGTCTCTAGCCCAAACACTGCAGGCTGCAAGTAGAGGGGATGTAGGGATGATACCAAACCAGGGAGACCCAGTCTGTGCCCAGAAGAATGAACACAAACCATCTTTACCATCTTTCTGCTGAATCAGGGCCAAATTACTTTTTCCCCAGGCACAAAGCAAAAATTTTGCCTTCTACTTCTTTCACTGCAGCTGAGACACCAATAATAGCTTATTTTGCCATAACAAAGGTCAGGGCTCACCTGTGATTGCCACATCTATCTTCAGCTGAGCACACAGTACTTGGCTCTTCTGGCTGTAAGACTCTTGATTTTTCAGCAGCTAGTGAGGTCTGAAAACAAACAACTTGATGGATTACTCCCTTAAATCAGGACATTAGAATTAACGCTAGCAATCGCTGACAAATACCTCCTCCTCCTTACAAAATCTCTCTGGGCATCTCAGGGTGGGAAACAGCCTGAACTGGGGGTAAATCCCTTGACAGCTTCCTTCAGCTGTCTGGGCAGGCAGGACTTCAACATCTTGCCCAGAATTTAGTCCTGAGGGGCTTCACATAAGGAGGCACATCCAGGCTGTGAGAAAAGAGCCTTCAAAGTCAGGCACTCCAACACAGCTGTGCTACACAGGACAATGTCTGCTCAAAGCCTGCTTGCCTGGGGCAGAGAAGTAACAATGGGCCACTCACAACAGTAAGGAGCCCCAAGACCATCTATTCATCCTGAAATACATTCACTTCCCCCTGCCAGTGTGCCAGTACTGCAGTGTCTGAGACCTCCTGCATGGCCAGTGGCTGTTCTAGTCAGCTGGCTGTTTTCCAGTCTCTTGGCATAGCTACAACAGCCTGAAGATATTAAAATGCATCAGGGAAACTTGCTTCCATTAGGAACCCAACTTCAGTCCTCCTCTAAGGTTGTGCTGACAAGAAAATGCCCTGAAATAAAACTCCTTGCAAAGAACAGGCTTCCTCAGCAATGTTGTGCTTTTACACATCAGCATCACCCTTCAGCATGCTGCCATGCCGGTCCTGCTGTGCCTGCAGCTCTCTTCTTCATCCCAGCTATGCCCTGCAGCAAGCAGACAGATGTCAGCCTTTGGTGAAACATAGCTAGCAAACAGCCAGCATAACCCACCAAGTCCCTTCCCCCACCACAGAAGTGGCTGTAAGGATGGTCAAGAAACAGATGATAACAAGAGCACAGAGTGTATGGTCATGTAGAGTCAGGAATGCCTATTATTTCTTCTTTGCTTTTGTTTTACTGTTAACTAGAAAGCAAGATATGGGAGAGAGGTTAATTTTGGTGTCTTGGACTTTAGCTGAGAGAAGGTGCACCAAAGGGCACTTTACAAATGAGTAAACTGTTTTTCAGAGAGGAAGAGGAGAGGTTTCCAGCATGGGCTCATTGTGAATGTAGTTCATGTTTTGTTGATCACAATTCTCATGTAAGATTTTTTCCCTCAGGACAACTTTCTAAGACATAATAGCTGTACCTTCAGCTTAATGGAAGGTTTTCTCTGGAAACACAATTATCTCCATATCTCCAAGCAGTCCCACTCCTACACTGAATTGCCACCTTATCCCATTAATTGACAATGTGCTGCAGAAAGATAATTTGTCAATATTACAAGCAAATCATTAAAATTTGACCCTGTCCTGCAAAACCCACCTTGGACTTTGAACTTTTCTCTGCCTCCTGCCTCAGCTCAGGAAATTTGAATTCTGAGTCCCAATTCTCACACCTTTCCAAAAGAGCAACTATGCTGTGAATTGCACCAAGACCTGGGTGCAGCCCTCCTCTCATTACATTTCTTAGGAGCCTTGGGATATAGGTTCAGACCATACACAGGCATAATTCCTTCTCTCCTTAGCATAACCACCAAAATACTGTATTATGCAATGTGTCAGTAAACTCAGAAGTCATCCTTGTATCCACGTAACTCAGTTACCTCAGTTATGTTTTGGTGCAAAAGTAATCCCATACTGATGGTGCACTGCAACCAAGTGATTTGTGCTCTTTGTCTACTGCTAAGACAGCTTCACCTGCTAAAAATAACAGCACTTTTTGCACTAGAAAATTGCATCTGGAGCAGGAAGCAAATCTGCCCTATTCAAAAGTAGACAGAAAGGTAGAAACACCATAGGTAACAACTGCTGTAATGAGAAATACTTTCCCACACAAATGCCATTACCTGGCGGCAGTGTCAGCTAGAGCTTTACCCTGGCTTGTGGACAGCCACATCCTTGGTGCATACTGTATTTCTGTAGGGCTGGAGAAAACAGCATTGGCATCCCTCAGCTATTTCAGTTTGTTGCTCATTTGTTGCTTATTTGTTGCAAATCTGTTGTTCAAGGAAAAGCACTCCAGCAATTTTTAATTTAGAAGGTGCTGGGAACATTCTTGCATAAGACTTTTTGATGCATTTGTCTGTGAGATCTTCTCAAGAATATGGTAGATTTATGCCTCTATTTAACCACTGGTATTTTGAGGACCCGGACAGAAAAAAGGGAAAAGCACCTTAAATGATGATCAGTGCTGACAAGAAAACAGTGGAAATGGAGTTTAAAAGAACTCAACCCTGCCTCAAGGGCTAAATTACATCCATTTTATATCTATTTAAATTCTGTAGTGGTGCTCAGGGAAGTAGAAACTTAGCCCTAGAGGTGATGGACCTACAAAAGGCTCAACACACACATGTGTTGGAGCGCTCACTCAGCTTGCAAAGTTTTCCCAGAGCAGGGTTTAAATGTCTTGTTTTAGCACCTCAAAATATCTTAACACCTCACTCTGCATTTGAGATATCCCTTTCATAAACCCAGCTGGGACAGAAACAGAACAAGCACTGAATAGACATCAAGGAACAGTATAGAGAAACCTAAGTCACAGCCAGATCTAGTACCTATCCTTTCCTCCTTGCATCTCCTGGGAGAGTGAAATGTTTGGGGATGCAGACCACAGGGGAGCTGCCTGACACTCCTACTTTTTGGTGGTGCTGCTGCTGGGAAGATTTGCTTTCGTAACATTTTTCCTTTCTTTCTCAGGGAAAGCTCCAATGCCACGACCTCACTACAAACCACAGGAACCCAATGGCTGTAGCTCCAACTTCCTGGGGCTCAAGGTACCTGAAAGTGTATGTACTGCCACACCCGCCAACCACAAATGATGCAATTCTCTAATCACAGTAAGCAGCTAATAGTATTAGGAGGGAAAAGGCTTAGCTGATTACACAGTGCCTGTGTGGTGGCTTCTTTTCACAGCTGAAGCCAGAGCTCTGGAAAAGGGAGGAAGTATTACTTTATGTGGTGTCAGGGAACAAGCTATCTGCCTGGGACTGACAGAAGACAAAGCTGTCTGCTGTCAGCAAGCAAGGAAAACATGTCAGTCTGAGCACTGCCTAACTAACTGTCAGTCAGGGATGCATTAAGATTTCAACTGCTGGTGGCAGTGAAACAGCAGTCACATAGATATGAGTTACATTTATGAAGGACCGGGCTGTTGCTCTGGTTGTCTTGGTAGGTGCCAAAACAGAAAGTTTCCTGAGCAGGTTAGTACCATGAGAAGAAAAGGGGGCACCTGGCCAAGCAGAGGAACATATTTTTATAAAGGCCCAGAACAATCCTGTGCCCTTGTGATAGGACAGGGAACATGTTCCATGACAGCTCAGTGGCATAGCAGAATGTAGAAACAGCAATACTTGAAGGCATTCTCTACACCTGGCCCTTAGCCCTCTCCCATGCTTTTGCCTCTGCCAAGCAATGAAATAAACCTGCAGGCTTTAATACTGCACCCACTTGTTATTTTAAAAGCAATTAATGAAATCATATTAGAATCACCAGGAAAAGTACTCCCAGGAGGCTCTAAGAGCAGGAAAAACTATTTACCTTATGCATTACTGCTGCCCATGAAGTCTGCAACCATCAGGCAGATTCCTGCTCCAAAAAGCCTTCTCTTTGCATCCTACTCTTCATGTAATATTAGATCCTAAAACTACATTTCACTGCAAACTGGGCATTTCTGCAGTATGTTCTCCTTAGGCAGGCAGTCATAAGCACCGAGTGCAGTGAAGAAACAGTCTCCTAAATATTACATGAGGAAGGCCAAACAGAGGAAGAATTTACAACAAGCTAATGAGTCCAGCGTCTGAAGGAAGCAGGCCTTCTGCCCCATCACCCCCATGGTTATTAGCTAAGCTGCTGTTTACCTTCAAACAAGTAGAACTCCCCTGATCAAACTGTGTTTGCCCTTGGCCTCATAAGTGTCTCTCTGAGAAATAAGGCATTAATAACACTTATAGTGGATTTATTAAGCCAAAAAGCAGGATTTGTCAGGTTGTGGGAAAAGGAGAAAAGGGGCCTTTGCCACTTCTGGAAAGGACGGGAAACTCTCTAATGAACTCTGACAAACCAGAACTAGCAGATTCATGGAGGGGCTGTTTGCCACCTCTGTAGGAGAAGTTAATCCCCTGCAACAGAAAGAAGGGAACATGGTCTGTCCTGTACTGGACCTGCACTACCGTTGCCCCTTACTTTAGATAGTGAGGGAGAAGCATGTGTTCCTTCCTGCTGCCCCAGCTATCAGAAGTAGCTTCTGTGAAAGGATCCAGCTGGGCTCTGCAATACCTCATCCAGTTGGAGCTGCTTGATTCTGAGGCCAGGACACAGCCAAGGGACACTGCTTTCCTCTCTTTCCCCAGCTAGATTTGGGCATCCCTGCCATGACCAAGTGCTGTAACCAGCTGGACATCTGTTACGACACCTGTGGGGCCAACAAGTACCGCTGTGATGCCAAGTTCCGCTGGTGCCTCCACTCCATCTGCTCCGACCTCAAGCGCAGCCTTGGGTTTGTCTCCAAGGTGGAAGGTAGGCTTCCTCACTCACATCCCCTATGGAGGGGATGAGCAATGGCAGGGAGGGGAGGGTGTGAGCTCTCTCCTTGCCAAAAGCAGCGAAAATCTGTAGTAGGGAGCAGAACATTGCCCCATGCTTGTCACAGATGGGTCAGAGATGAGTGAGAACACCAAGATCTGTCCCCTACACCCACACTTCTGTCCCAAGACTGGGGACCTAAATTATTTACAGTTGGAAAACATTACAAAACACATGTGGAAAGAAAAAAGCCCAAAACAAAACCTGCCCCCTCTCCCAAACAAACAAAAAACCCAAAACAAACCCACCAAAAAGAAAACCTAGTTGCAATTCCTTCAACACCTGGATGCTCTCCCCAAGAGTTAAAACACCTTCACGTGGTCAAAAAACCTTCCACAGCCAGTAAACCACACACGGAAACCTGCACATGGCCAAGGCCCAACAAACTGGGAGAGCCAAGGACAAGGGCTCTCTGGGATCTGGTTCACAGATAAGAGATGATGATGGCACCAGGGACATGGGTGGTGGGCTGAGCCATGGTGGGCAGCGCTGGGTTCCTCAGAAGCCCCCATACTAACAAACTTTTAGTGACTTGTCAGCAGCTCAACAGCCATCCTGGTTTTGCCTAATTTTAAAAGCTTCAGACTGCAAGAAGCTTTTTGGTAAAGGCTGCATTAATAACCTTCATGAAGAGTCCAAGCCTGCCTCTTAGTCCACAGTGCCAACATCAAGCACTTCTTCACTGTATGACAAGGAGGAAACATAGACCCTGCCACTACTAGAGGTCAGCCACGGCAGGAGAGCCTCCCCTAGTCTGCTCCTCCTGAGGCCTGATTAGGGCACACAGGTAAGGCTGCATGACTAGGAGCGTGCAGATGGCTTTCTACTTCATCACAGATAAATGTTTGGAAACAGTGTCCAGGCCAGCAAGAGAAAACAAAGACATGGACTAATATATAAGCGCTACAGGCCAAAGTACAGCAAATCTTCCATGGTCACCCCTGTCCACAAATCCTCATGCAGCCAATCTCTTCCTGTTCCTTCAGATTCTTCCCCTGCAAATTTTTCAGATCTCTCCTTTCTCCTTTCTGCCTGCAGCAGTGAAACAGAAATACTAGGGAGTAAAGGTGGAGCAGAGCCCTTACTTCTTGGCTGAGCTAAGCCACCTCTGCTCATAGCCAAGTAGGACTAAATACCTCCATCATCTCTGTCCTGGTTGTGGCAGGAAGCGCAGGTAGTTGCAAACTAACAAACCTCTGAGTCATCTGCTCCTCCCCTTGCTCTGCCTCTTGTCCTGTGCTCTATACCTGCCACTCCCTGTCCTCAGTGCTGCTATGAACAGCTCCTGTTGCACAGTCCTTCACCACCGCCATCCCAGCTCTTATCTGGGATCCTTTCCACTGAGTCACCACGACAGAGACAGCAGGCAGGGGAACAGCATCTGCACTCCCTCCATGTGGGCACAAATATCCCAGCTGCAGCAGTGCCAGTTAACCAAAGCCCTGGTTTTCCCATGGCTCGCTACAGGCTCTCCAACACCTGCCAACTGAGCAAACTCCTAAAGCAGCAGGAGCAGAGTGAGGTGCTCTGAGAGGCTGAGGCAAGAGGAGACAGCCCCCAGGCAGGGCTTTCCCATATGCATTCAGCAGTCAATGTTGGTTGCCAGTGAGTAAACCCTAAAAGACTTCATATTAACCTATTTATTTACTGAGAAGCAGTTTTGGGCTTGTTTTTTTGGGAAGAGGGGCTAGTTGTCAGGCAGACTATCAACAGCTCTGCTGTTACAACTGCAGTAGGATTGTCATGCTGGCTGGCAACTCCCAAAAAGCAGAAAAGATTGGTTAGTAGTGGCTATAGGAAAAATTGAGGGGAGAGGGAGCCAGGAAAGACAGTATTGTGGAGATCTTGGAAATCTGCTCGGTAAACAGTGCTATTTGCAGTGCCCCAAGAGATCCATCAACCAGAAAAGCCTGAGAGAGTCAAGAACAGAAAGGGGCAAGAAGTTAGTGTCAGACTGGTGCCACCCTAGGGAGAAAAGAGCCCCCAGTTCAGCAGAAGGGAACCTCTGGATTTATAAATCTGCAGTACCCAGAGATAAGACAATAGTCCTTGCTTCCAACTGTAAATACCACAGAACCCATCCCTCAGATGTCCTGAAGTGCCTGTTACCTGCCTCACCTTTTTTCTTCCCTGCAGCTTGTGAATCCGTTGCAGACACAGTGTTCAATGCCGTCTGGACCCTGGGCTGCCGGCCCTTCATGAACAGCCAAAGAAGCGCCTGCATTTGCAATGAGGAAGAAAGAGATGAATTGTGAAGATGAGCAGGTGCCTGGCCTCCATGAGCCTGATGCCTAGCATTCCCTCTGCCACTGCACTTCAGCACAGTGACTTCTATCAGCCCTCTGGCCCAAAACAGGATGGGGGAACCTGGGCCAAGCAATACACATGAACCACAGTTTTTGGGCAGAGAGCTGCGAAAGGGGAGACAGTCTATGAATATAGGGCAGTGATGTCTGCTGTCCACCACAGATGCAGTCTAACAGCCCTAGCCCTTTCCAAGTCCATCAGCCTGAATGATCTGATTTTCTCTGCAGATCTCTGATCAGGAGAGGCAAGCAGGATGCAGCACTGGTTATAAACAAGAGACTTTACTTGTTTGCCTTAGACGCACATGTATTAGCCTCCTCCCCCCCCCCCACCTACCTGAACTCTGTAATTTGCAGTGCAGGGCATTAAGTTTCTGCAACCACAGAAAATCCCAGTCCACAGCCATGCTATTTACGTTTTACACCACTGGTGACAGACTGAAGAAGAGAGGTAATTTACTTTCAGTACCATCTGTAACATTTTCCATCTTATCATTACACAACCTAACAACCCTGCTTATTTAAATACTTGGTGGATCCAAAACCAATTTAAAACATCCAGGGAGATTTGGTAAGCATGAGAAGAAACTTTAAGTGTTTGTGATATAGGTACAACTTATTTTGGGGCAGACAGGGACCAAAGTGCATTGTGTCTGAGGTGTGAAATCATAGCACTCTCCCACAGTCTCAGGAGACAAAGCTGCTTTTCTTTTGCAGTGTCATCCAGATCAATTTAATTATTTTCCTCCTACATCATTTAACAAAGCTTTTCCCTTAGGATCCCTTTTTACACAAAATGACTGGGTATCCTCCTCCATCTTTTGCGTGAGGGAAACAGGAGGCTCACAGTTGCCTTGGATGAGACATTCAAAAATCCCAGAGGCTTACCTGTCAGGTAGCAGGGCTTACATGCTACCTCTATGGGGCAGAGACACTACCAGCTGAAGAGCTATCAGCAGCCTCAGACAGCCTTCTTTCTAAAATGTGGTTAATACTCCCACCTGCTATTGGGAGATTTTTTTTTGCGTACAAAATGAGAGTTTAAGGTGGTATATGGAATTTCATCTACATACAACATTTGCAGACAGCTTTCATCTGTTTCTTGTTGAGAGGAAGTTGCTTCTGGGTGTGCGTTCCGTGCCGCATAAATACTTCAGCATCTTCTGCAAACATATTTGTGATTATGTTCTTCCATCTGCCATGGAAAAGTTAAGGCTACAGAAGGGTGATTTAACAAGAATAGAAAGAATCTGTCTTAGTTACGTTTCTTCTCATTTGGGTTTAAATGTATGCATGGAACTATAAATTATTTAAGCCCCATATTCCTGTTCCTCCCAGTCATCTTTGCTTTACAGTGAACAGCATTGAGACATTCATCTGGCCACAGACAGACTGAAACAACAAGAGCACACTGGTACTAAGACCAGGAAAACAAAGGTGACCATAGGAGATGTACTGGGATGTTTTCCATTAGGGAGGACCTTGGTTTACACCGATCATAAGCAATGACATCCTTTCCTAGCTGTGTTAATGCCACTGGAGAGCAAACACTGTATTGCCAAGATTTCTCGCAGTGTGTGCCTGTCAGAGCATGAGGCTGCACAGACAGTTCTGATTATCTAAGAAACATGTATTTTTGGCTAGGGATGGGAAGGAAACTGTCTTTGTTCCAGACCTTCCCAAACTTTGTATTTCATTGATGAAATTGTGCCTGTTGCCAGCTTTAAAAGTGAACATGCTCTTACAATTAAATGACAAAATTAAAAAAAAAACATCTCATTTACACTCAATAGCCAACTGGCTGGCAAACGTCTTACAACATTTTATAGTTCAAGTGACATCAGGTTAAAGCCAGGCCAAGCAACTGAAGACAGACAATGACATACACTGGAGAAATTGAAGGGCTCTAAACAAAATCTCTCTATCCCGACAACTGATGTGTCAGAGACACCACTAATATAAATCAGTTTCTTATGCTTTCAGACCACCATTCATCCCTCAACACTACAGACTGCTGCTCACAGGGCAGCTACTGAATACTGAGTAAGTACATTTTTCACAACAAAATTGAACTGTGGCTAGCTGAAAAACCCTCTGAGCAGCTCTACAGGAAAACTTTTGAGCCTTCAAGTCGTGGCAGTGACTCAAACCCACCAAATAATCCTGTACAGGAGAAAACCAGTACATGAACTACGGTAAAACTTCGGCATCCAAACTAAAAGTCACTTTCCCTTCACATTGTTCCTGCTACCTGGTTGGTGTACAGCCACTGGAACAGCAATGGACAAATGTCAATGGACAAATCTTGGGTCATCTTCACTTCCACCCTGCTCTGAGCAGGAAGACAACACTGTGCTCACCTGATGGCTTCCTGCTGACTTTGTGCATTGGCAGGATTGTTTGCAACTCTTGCAGATGTTCAACCACTGCTTGTGCAGTGTGTTTTGCTTCCACTATGTGGTGCAGCAGATTAAATTAAACAGACAAATGCCTTGGCTCTCAGATGAGTTTGGTCTTTGATTTCATGCTGAGGTTGTACTGCTGAGAAAGATGGAAGCAAGAAGCAAACTGGGGAGAGCTAAAAGACTTTGAGAAATGGTGGTGCTTGTGCCTCAGAGCCATTCCCTCTGTGTCAGAGGAGGAATGGCCACAGGCTAGTGGAAGACAGTAGACCTACTATCCTGCTTTCAAGGCAAACTAAGCACCTTCCCAGACTGCTCCATTCACATGGCCACACAGGCCAGTGTTTCCTCTTCATTACTCTTCCAGATTATTCAACTAAAAAGCTGCAGAGCAGAAAGGCTGCTTCATATGAACCTGTCAGGAAGAATGAAATAATGTGCAAAATAACTGAAATAAGCCAGGAAATTAATCTCTCCTCCACTACTCCCCCATGTCCCTTTCACAAGAACAAAAAACACCAGTTGACTTTCCAGAAGGCACCAGCTGATTGATTTAATTTTCCAGCTCTTGTTTTATCTAAACAAGTATATTTAGCAGGGTGTGCCTGAACAAAGAAATGACAGTGCGAAATTGCCCATGTGGTCCTAATGCAGACGTGTATCAGCAGAACCAGGAGACACACAGCAATGCAAGGAGATGGCTTTTTGTTTTCTTTTTCTTTCACATATGGCTAGGTAGCACATGAAAAGTGTCTTTCCACTTATACTGACTTATCATCATAGAAACATTTTCATTTCTTCTGACACACACACATATTCCCAAATGGGAAAAGCAGCCATGAAGCTACTCAGAAAAATCATTAAGCTCCCAGCCCATCACTGTGTTCCTCCTGGAATCTCACTCAGCAAAAGAAATAAATCTCTGAAATGGAACACTGCTGAGGAGATTTGCAACTCCCTTCTAAATGGTCCTTCAAACAGACTCCCTGTCCATTTGAGAGCAGCAACAAGTTTTGGCCTTGGCAGCAATTTGGCTGTTTCCAACCAAAGTAGAAAATGGGTAAGGCAGGCTAGGGGGGACACCCAGCACACCTCCAGACACACAGGAGAACACTGCACACTGCAAAGCTTCTTGCAGAAAACCTCATGAACACACTGCAGTGCCACAGCCAGTGGTGGAGATGGATCCTTCCTCTCTCACCCTCCAGCCCTGCCTCTCCTGCTTAGCCCTTCACAGCTCACTGTGCCTCCTTCCTTTCACCCCACATTTCCTTCACCACACAGTACTCCTCCTCTTCAGTGAAGCCCAGAGGAGCCCAAGCTGATCATCCATTATGTTTTCTTTGGAAGGACCTTGACAGCCACCAAAGGGATTCCTGACAAATAACCATGATGCCGCCACCACCACCACCAGTAATTGCATCCATACCCAGCTTTCACTCACCAGAGGACTGCAAATGTGCACAGGCACTCAAACAATGCTGCCATATCTCCTGTCCCCAGGCTCACTGGGGACAACCTTGTCCTGAGAACTACCTACATTACAAATGAGTGCTAGAAACACTTAACGTGCATTCCTCTAATCCCTTTGTCAGGGCCAGAGCCTCTCTAGACCAAGGTAATGATGGATTACAACTTTCAAAGACTTGGTAGCAGCACACTTAGGGGGAGGGGGTGCTACTGTTTAATGGCATTTTTCTTACAATCAAGGTACTAAACAATACAAAGGATGTTTAATGATCTTTCTCTTACAATCAAGGTGCTATAGCATTTATGAAAGGGACCAAATTTTTGTTTGAAGCAGAAGAGGGAGAAAAATAACAGTACACTAAATACAAGAGGAAATACTGCTAAACTGCATGTAATTATAAGAAAGCACTAAAAAAAAAATCAAGTTTTATTAAATACCTTTTACTATTTAAAAATAACATTTAAATGTGCATGCAATGACAACTGTTTTATAGCTCCAAGGAACTTAGACATTATGAGATATAATATTTTCATACATGCTTTTTAATGGTCATCCCAAAATCTCAGTACATCCAAAGCTTCAGCATCATTCACAGAACTGCATAGCAAACACGTTCAGCTATGATAGATAGTGTTTGTATTGTCTGATGACAGAAGAGCTTGACTAACATTGTCAAGGACAAACAGTCCTTTGGAGCCTGCAGGTAGATGCAAGGGAAGACCAAGTTGGTTAATGCTTCAGGCCTGAAAAGCAATAGGGTCCCTTCATCTGAAGGGTTGTTGGGAAGAAATGGCAGATAAAACTGTTCTGCAGTCCGGGTTGCACTCAGTCTAGGCACACTGCCTTGCATGCCCAACATACTTCACAAATAATCATCACACACTTAGGGAAACATGTTGTAAGTGGTTCAGTGGGGCTTTACCAAATACTTCTTGTTTCTTAAACAACCATACAAGAAGGCACTGACAAGGAAAGTCGTCTCAACAGAGATGCTGTTCCAGTAGGTGGGTGTTAGTCATCAAAGTCGATTCTGATGGGGCCACCTGTCAGGATGTGGTTTGCCATGTGAACAGATTCCTCCTCTTCCTCTGTCTCAGCTAACCTGCGCACCCGTCTCCGGCAGCCCTGGGCACAGCGAGAGCTCTCATCCAGCGCTCCGCAAACGAGGATGCGGCAATGCAAGAACACCTCCTGGAGGGTGGCAAGACAGCAGGCCAAGTCAGCACACAGCTCTGGGAATCACACTGGCACTGCTGCCAGCTCTCTCAGAGAACGGGTGATGCTATTCCCATAGTCCAGCCATTTCCATTCCCACATCAACAAGGTCCGCATCCACCATTGCCATCCACAGCCAAACTGGCTGCTTCATGTTTTCTTAAGTGCCCAGGAGAGGGCATGTTTTCCAGAGCGCCTGGCTGAGATGTCAGAGTATGGCATCTGTCTGTTAGCCAAGGGCTAAACAGGTAATATGAAGGCATGAAATGATCCTCTAGAGGAAGGGATGAAAATGCCAGGGATAAGCTTGGAAGATCTCACATGAACTGGTAGGAGCTGCATAGCAGGAAGCAGGCCAAGAACATGTGAAGTCTCACAAGGAGATGGACTGATAGAAAGATGCAAGAGAATGGACTGATAGAAAGATGCAAGAGAATCTGACATGAGCTGAGAAAACATAAAGCTAGGAGACTGAGGGACAAAGGAGGAAAACTCAAGTTGATGAGGAGCTAAAACTGGTAGCTGAGGGGAAAAGGGGAAACAAAGGCCAGGGAGACAGCTGCCCTTTCTTTCTGCACAGCAAAGTCAGACTGTGACAAGATGGGTACTCCTTGCCTTCTAAATGACAAGGAGAGTAAAGCAAGATCCCCGCAAGCAGGAAGTAGGGAAGCAAATATTTGTGAATGTTTGGTCAACGGTGAGGTTTGAAGCAAAATCCATTGCACAGGCAGGGAAGATGCAGGTTGGAAGCAGCAGTGGCAAACAGACAGCAAAGCGAAACCTTTGAATTTTGAACGATCTCATCTGTTTTAACTCTACTGAGGCTCTCCAGTAGCTGGAGCGGCAGCTTTATAACTTCTGGAGCAAACAACATTGGCTGAACATAACAGTGACCGTAAGACTAGATTTCTTCTAGCACAGAGAAGCTATTTGCAATAGGAAAATGGCATTATCCTCCCACGACAAAGCTTCTGCCTCAGAGTGCCACCAGCCTTGACAGCATGGTTTCACATTGAATTAAACAGTATGGTGGCCTTGTATCTGGAAACCTGGCACCTGTACTCACAAGAGCTAGAGAAGATATAAGGTTGAAGAGATTTAAAACCATAGACTGTTTTGTTTTAAAGATAGGACACTGTGCCTGGTGATTGGGAACACTTTTCTCACCCAGTGTACAAGTGTCCAGTAAGACTATGCAGAAAACAACGATTTCAGCCTGCTATGGCAACTGTCCTTCATGCTTTATTTAATTTTAGCTGGTTTTATCACTCTCTCCTAAAGTACCTGTGTCAGGGTCCCGAAAGACAACACTGCTGGGATAGGCACAGCATCACCTGCCTTAGGGCAGCCACTCCTCTCCTTTGCACTCTAATACAGCCAATTCTGTGCCGAGATTCCCCAGTCAGATCAGAGCTGATGCAGTATCTCAGAGGTGTGCTGTGAGCTTACCTTGTTGTCTTTACCCACAAACTTGAACACAGGAACCTGGAAATGCTTGGCAAGATGGTCCTTTGACGTGTACTGCTTCACTGAATCATCAGAAACGCAGCTGAGAAAAGCAGAGGGATAGGCTTTAATGGGTTTCCCAGAAATGGAAAATGAAAGAGAAAAAACATCCCAGCATATTTAACCATAGAAAGGAAAGGAGAACTTGGCTCTCTCAAGCTAAGCTACCATTCATGTTACTTCCTCTTTGGCCACAGGAGAAAATTCGCGAATGATGGGGAAAAACAACAGTGGTGATAATAGCATATCCAGACAAACAACAGCTCAGCAGCAGAGAGTTGGCAGGACGTGGTCCAGTCCCCTTGTCAGAGGGACTTGCCAGAGAGCTGCAGGCAAGTCTGTCCTCGTTTCACCTTCCTGTGCAAGAGTCTGCAGTGATCAACAGAGCTGTTATACAGTATATATTATGTGCTTTCTATACACACATATTTATGCACGTAAATCATGCTTAAAATGAAGAAGCCTGTACTCACATTACTAAAATATCACAGATTGTGAAAAACATAAAAATCCAGACTTACTTTGCTTTACATCATTTATGTTTTTCTTTCTGCTACACTTGGTTGGACAGCTCAAATTCTTACACTAAAATTCATCATTTCAATTTCTTCCTCACTAGCATTATATGATCATGCAAGACATCATAGAACTGCAAAATAGCTACTTTTATAAAAGTTACATTCCAGGTGCAGTCTATAAACTGTTACAGCCTATTTAGAGTTTAACAGAGAAACAGCAAGACAAAAAGTTACGGTGACTTGGTGATTATTGCTGCCTAGTGCAAAGCCTGAAGCATTCTGAGAGGCCCAGCTGCTGCTGTTATATTGCATTGCAATGCAGCTTGTCCTTTCTAGCAAGTTAATTCCAGAAATGTGGACTTTGCAAGATGTTAAACAAAAAAAAAGAAG